TCTTACTTAAGACACAAATTCTACAAACATCACATAATCTTTTCGCGAAATACATCTGTGCCTACCGTCCAGGCAAGAAAATCATGGAGCCTTTCCTTACTCTCAAAATTATAATTCAAAAATGTGATAAATATAAATTACCTTTTCTTTTTACCTTCATTTCTAATTTCAATTGATATGAACACATTCTCAATTATTGATAGTAATTATCAAGCCTTACATTAAAGATGTTAAACTTAAAATTAGCCACCACCCACCCTTAAAGTAATTAAATTATTTTTGCAGTTCTTGGGTATAGGCTTTTGTTTTGCCCATTTCTTTTTGTCTATTAGCCTATAGACGTTTAAGTAACAGTTCTCGGACTGTTGCGCGTACAAGTACGTGCGGCTTGCCCACAAACATGTGAAGGGCTCCTCATTTTTCTCCCCTTAATTAACTATCCAGTTTGATGGATTTTTGAGGAAAACCTAGCGTAGCTCTGTTGTATCCACAACCAGAGGGCGAAAACGCTTTTATCACGTATTTTATACAAACAGATTAATGGAATTTCGAGAATTGATGGTGTACACATACCTAACATGGAATGAGAGATTTGGTCGTCTTTGAATTGATAAAAACAATATTCCCTCAAATTTGTAAATATGAATGAAACTTTTTATTTCACTTAATCCTTTCTTTATTTTTTACATTACCTTATCAATTTACATCTCATATTATCAATTACACATTAATGAAATCTCTACAAGATAATTTATTTTGAACATACTTACAATTTTTGTCAGTACTTACATTACAATTTTTTATACTTATATTTTTCTTTCATAACCAAAAATTAAGAAGATTACCAAGTATATTCAAATATTTAAATGTTCTTATCCTAACCTATTTATAATCTCCAATCCTTATAAATAACTCTTTCTTTATTTTTTTCCCCTCCCTTAATGAATTTATTTATCACTAAATTTTATTATCCCATTCTTTTCTTTCTATCTCTATTATCTATTAACCACTATTTCTCAAAACCTTATCAATTCCTTTAATTTAATTTTTATTATTTTTATAATATAATAATTTATACCTTCTTTTTTCTCCCCTTTTTTAATCTTATTTTTTAATTAACATTCATCATGTTATTTTTTAACTTTTAGAATATCATAATATGCTTGATAACCCCCCCCCCCCCATGATGATAGCCAAACCTTATAAATTCCTATAATTTAATTTTTATAATATAATTATTTATACCTTCTTTTTCCCCCCTTTTTATCTTATTTTTTAATTACCTTACAATTAATTAACCTTAATCTTATTAATGTTACATTCATCATGTTATTATTTAACTTCTAGAATATCATAATAGGCTTGAAAAGTCCCCCAAAAATTTTTTTGATGATAGCCCTCCAACTACTAGAAATATGCATCTAATATTGACGCATCTACCGGCTTTACATTATTTTAATGTTTGTTTTATTTCAACAATAGTTTTTTTATATTTTTGCTTGATGGCTAACCCTAATCCCTCACATTGCTACAAAACATGATGAATCTATTATTAAAGATAAGCAAAAATAATGACCATATCTGGAGGTTTTTTTTAAAATCTTATGTTTAATATGTATGTTTACATCCAGTTCTCCAAATTATACTATCACCACTACCACAACCCTATGCCTCCGCCTATTTTTTAACAAATATAAACATTTAATTCTGTACATTCATTCACTTCACTAGGCGTTAATACAAATATTACTTTATCCGATTCTATGAGAAACTTTCATGAATTAGAGGAATGTTCAAACTTTAATGTACAGTACGGCCAATTTCATCAACTTTATTAATGGAAAAATATGCAGTAGTTCTGTCGTGGCCTTATACTTACGACCGTTTTATGGTTGAGTTAACATTGTCGTTCATGATTCTATTTTAGTGGGGAATACCAATGCTGACATTGACAGAAATATCGTTTTGCGTTCTTCTTTTACCAGTATCCCAAGACATAGGCATATCATCTTTATCAGGACATAATGTGTTTTGTACACTGCTTTGTTAATCCGTCATCACTTTCATCTACAACCCTAAATGATATAAAATTATACATTAATTATTTCCTCTCCAGACGACCGCCCAGATTTATTTTGTCGCTTTTTCCATCAAAAATTAAAATGTCAACAAGGATTTGCTCTTAATTTTATCAAATACAAAATAAATATTCTTCATTATTTTTTAAAAAAATTATCCTAAATTTATATGTCACTAAAAAAAAAAAATAATTTGCATATAAGTTTCATTAGTGTTTAATGGAATTTTTATAATTTAAATAGACAGCATTTTTTTTTGCTTAACATAAAAAAATATATATCACTTATCAAATTCTTTGACAAATAATTTCAGAAATGCAAGACATACGTTAAATTTATCTGAAAAACAACAATAACCCTATATAATAAACAACATATTTTTTAGATATCATATTACAAAAAAGTATAAGAGTTGGTTATTTTTATTTTATTTGTCATATTCTCTAATAAGTGGTTGCCCAGGCCTTTCCACTTTCCCTTAATACGGAATTTACATGTTTTATTTCTATTGTAAATCAGATAGTTTCCGTTCATGTGATGATATTAAAAATTTAATTATCTCCGAGGCGGGAAAAAATTTTCAAAATTATAATGGGTAGGACTGGGTTTGGAACCTCATATAATAATTAGCTTGCATCTGACTTGGGAATATCTTTTACAAATTATCAAGGGTTGAGGTGGGCTTGATAAACTTTTTTAAAATTATAAGATCTTGGATGCTTCCTAATATTGTGAGCTTGAACCTGGCATGACATCTATCGTAAAAAATGAATAAAAATCTCATACCCCGTCATTTTTGACGGGCTTTCTACTAGTTTAGATCAAATAAGAATTAGAAACTGTTTTAATACAATTATAAACTATGACTCTAAGGATTCTTTTAAGGAGGGAAGTGTGGACAAAAATTTAAAAATTACTGATAATATAACACCTATTTCTAGACCTGTGCGAATTAAACAAAAACCTGTTTATTTAAAAGACTATATAACTTAAAATATAAAATAAATAGTAAATTGCATAAAGTAAATTAAATATTAAAACGCTTACACTAAAACGCAAAAAAAAAATTAAAACGCTGAAAATATTATATAACAATCTTATTAATTTATCATTCTTCATTTATTCTTATATCCAATATGATGAACTATTATTTCTTATTATTCGCAACTTATTGATGATAATAACAATTTTGGAAAATGATAATAATAACAACTGAGTGTTACAAGCAAGCTATATGAAGTCACGATTTATGGAGACAACTTACGATAAGGATATCAAGCTTGCGATTTAAACAAACCAACGTGCAAAATCGATTTAAACAAACCAACGATTGGGACAAGCCAACGATATGATGATTTGTGAAACAACTTGATCACCAAAACGATAAACTACTTGGACAACAAACTCTCTATGACTTCTTAGATGAATTTATGGGAAGGCTTTCAGAAGATGGAGAATGTTGCGTTATAATCTAATTTATAATCTTACTTTTTGTTTTTTTGCATTTAAACTTTTTATAATCTAATTTTATAACTTTATTTTTTATATTGCGTAACCTTACTTTTTATATTTTGTAATATTTTACTTTTTGTTTTTCATTTTTTTAATATTGTATTCTAATTTGGATTTGTAAAATATATATATAAACGAAGTGTAAAATGGAAAAGATAGAAATAATAAAGTTAATAATAAAAATACATTTTTGTTTAATAGCACATATACATGATTCTTTTCAGCTTTCATAATATTTTTTCTAATAAAATATTGAGTTAGCCGTTTTTAAAAATCGGCTCAAAATGAGCCGTTTAACGACACTAGTCTTAGTTGAAAGGTTACTTAGTTTTGCCACAATTTTAAATAAGCTGTAAGGGTAAAGGCTTAATGATAATTATTTGAAAAATTGATTATTTTAAAAAATAATGATTTAATTTAATCTATTTTAAATACTCTTTAGCAAACTAATATTTCAACTCCCATTAAAAATACTAGTGTCCTTTTATTGGCTATGTTATGAATGAGCGAAAACTAATAATACATTTTTTTTTAATTATTGTAAATAACAATATTATATGCGTATGTTATGTTCTTTATCAATAACTAATATGGTATTTTATAAACTATTCTTATTTAATTGGTAATAATAATTTTATAAAAGTTTATTGTATTTAAGATATACTCTTTTAGAAAAAGATTTAAGTATCTTTTATCTTTTTGATATTTTGGATAAAATTCTAGTATCTGGATCTTAGATTCATTTTTTTATAAAAAATCTGTATCTGAATCTTTTTCCGGCGGACTTGCCCAACTCTGTAGCTATGACATCTGAAGACTAATTAATATGATAAGTATTAAAAAGAAATTTGTGCTTAACTTAGTTACTAATTTGAAATTTTTGTCATATATTTAATAAAGTTATGTAAAATTTGTAATTTAATATTTAGATGTATTCCAGGATTAAGCAAAAATAACGAGTCTCGTTAATATTGTTAGACGGCTAAATTTTTAAAAACCTCAATATTGTGCTAAAAATAATATACAAGCCATGAGATTTCTTAAAATTTCCAGTCCAGGCTTGTGTAATATATTTTAGCTAAAATATTGGGTTAGCCTTTATTCGAGCTGTTTAACTACATCATACCTCGAACTAAACTATCATAAGAATTTAACCAAAATAATATATGCAAGCCTGATTTTGCTCATAAATGGAAGAAGAGTTCCCGCTATTTTCCAAATCTCTAGGCTTACTTATGATCTTTTTGGATGAAATTTTAATCGAGCCCTTTAACAACATTACTTTAGTACAATAAGCATTGGAATGTTCTTACGTGTAGATAGTTGGTTAAACACTATCATTTTAGATTTAATCTGGCTGTTGTTTATCAATTTGTGTTTTATACCCAGCATTATTTTTACAAGCTCAGTTTTCCATCTTCATTCATTAGTCAATTTTTTTAACTTCCTACATTTCATTTTTTTGCAATGATAACTTTTATCAGTAAGCAGATATGTATATATTTTTGTCAACTCTGGTTAAAATTTGTTACGCCTTATCAAGAATGTAATAATTTATTTGAAAATGATGAAATATCTATTTGAAATATATGAAAATATATCGAAGCCAATCCTTCACTGATATTCATTAAATATTTTATAAATTTATTCTAAACATTTTTAATTTATTTATAGGATTCTACCAATATAATCATTTATTTAGAAGCATGGAAGTATATGTCTTTGCATAGAAACGATGAATTGCTTAGGACTTAATTGGTATATATGCATAAAATGACTAATTTTAATAATAATTTTAGGCGTATATTCGATTTCAAGATCTAAAAGATATGAAAACGCTAGGAAATACATCCATAAATTAAATAATGCGATAAATTTTATATTTGTTATCAGATGAAATTTGTTAATTTTTATATTTGTATCAATTAAATATAGATTTGTTTTATCATATTTTAAATATAATGAATAATTTATCCTTAATTGTTAATTCTATGATTATTTAATATAAGTTTCTGATTAAATTAATAATTTGAAAAAAGGTAGTAATTTAAACTCAAAATAATTAAGTTAGTTTTAGAGCATATTTTGATAATATAAATTCTTGAAAAATAACAAATTATTTAATTGGTCCATTTAATCTGGACAGCATTTGTGTAGTTTCTACAATCCATAAATTATGATAAATATTGTTTAAAATTTTTAAATTTAACGATAAATTGGGAAAAAATTAAGATTACTGAGTACCTCCCATGAATTACCAATATGAGGTAAGGCTTATTTAAATAATAGTTTAAAGAAATTTTATGATATGTTAAAGGTTAGGGTATTTAGTTTAATATAAATTGTGCTATTTTTATCCAGAACATTTGTCGATTCCACCAGCACAGGCCATCTCCAAATAATTAGGGTGATTAAAAAAATTTCTAGAGAATCTATAAGGTGTTTACTGGATTTTCAGAGATTATGATTAGAAAAATATCACATCTTAATCATTTATTATTCTTTATTGAAATCAGGAGCTACTAGAGATTGAAATTTTAGGGTTCCTGACCTGGATTCTTAAAAAACGGGGTCTATCTTTCTTTTAATAGTCTGACCCAGGTTTTATATATTTTATTACTTTGTGGGTTTCTAAATTTAAATAATTTTAGTTAAATTTTAAGGTCCGTGAAGTTGGCAGAACGACTTGAAGTGCAATTAACCTTGACAAAAATTATGCCATTATTTAGAGCCTTAATTGCACTTCTAACCGGACATCAGCAGAATGAACCGTTCATGAGTTATGAGCAAAATAAGAAAGTGTTGGCACTTTGCCAAAACCGAAAATAAAAGAGATCCTTTTGAAACTTAACAATAATGTATTATTTGATTTACTCTTTAATATTCTCAAACCCGGATATCCGTATGTATAACCGTAACCGAGCTATAAAAAATATGAGAAGCTAAGACACAACATTATTTTTTTTCAATTAGTAAATTGATTTACTAATATTTTAAGAAATTTGGTTTGACCTCAATTTATAACTATTATCTTTGTTGATACTATTAGAAAATCATTAACTAAATAAAACTGGCTATCAAATGAATATGTCCATAGAAAGAAAGAACCTAATTTATCAGATTAAAGAAACATTCATTGTAGACTTCTAGGTTAAGTTTAACCTTTCTATAAAAAAAGATGCCCTTTTTCAACTCATTGATCTATATTAATTTTTTATAAATTAAGCCCAGATTTTGTATAAAATATTTTTGAGCAACCCAAAAATGTAATTTTATATCTTTAAGTTATATTTTTTTTTCTTTTTTATCTAATCCATTTATTAATTATCACTCATTTGATTTCCATTTTATTTTTTTATCCTTATTTAAATATATTTTTTTAATCATTTAAAATGCCAATAATGGGACACATTTTATTTATTGTTTTTCTGTATATTAAACTATGCTGCCAATTTCATTACTAAAAACCAGTTAGATATATTATTTTCTTGTATTTAGTATGATGAGAGGTAGATCTAAGATAAAATGCATCTGTTCATAAAAATATTTCTTTAATAATCATAATTATATACATATTATAAATTATATGTGAGAGTCCAAAATGGCAATATTTGTAAAATATTATTTTTTTAATTTTTTATTAAGTTTTTGTTTTTTGAATTCCCTTTTTCTGGTTTGCTTGATGATGGCTTTGCTTAACAAATTGACATCATCCTTAATCCGTTTGCCTTCAATCTTAGACAGGATGTTCTTGTACATAATATTATTGTTAACATCATTAAGTCTTTCAGGTTGATACTTGGCAACCTACATAAATAAATATGTTAACTAATGTTCAATAAACTTAAATGGCAAGTAAAATAAATAAAAAATGTAATTTAAACTTTCAATAATTTTTCATTGATTTTGTTATTATATTTCAGCCAACCATTTAAATCTCTAGGATTTGGAAGTTTGCCTTTATTCTTCTTTCCGTTAGGAATTACTAATTTATGATAGGTAATACTCTCATCTTATAATATAATATATTGTTTATTTATTTATTTCTACCTTCATCACTCATCTCATTATATAATGGTACTCAGAAAAAGACTTGATGAACATAAAATTAAATGACAGACATCTGACATACATATTATAAATATGATTTTACTCTCTGATGGATATAGGGGATAAGGATGTTTTGGTTAATCGCAATTACAAAAATATGACATCTAAATTTTTCTAATAAAATTTGTTAGCCCTCTAGTACATGTTAGATATCAAATGCAGTGATCATCAGGAGCAACATTGGCCCTTACAATCTAATGGGGTTCAAATTTATTATTTTCAAAATTTGTTTTTTTAAGCTAACATTATCTAATACTTTTTTTAGCGAATGTTATCAAATTAGCTAACATTATTTAAAATTACCTTTTCTTTTTTAGAAATATATATATTTATATATTTAAATATTTTTAAGCAATTTTAAATGAAAACCTAACGAAAACAATTAAAGTTTATTATAATTACATTTAATAAAAAATATCGAAATGTTGAGGGAGGGGCTGGAAGCTGCCCCCTCACCCCATTGTGACACTGCTGGTAATCTTAACTTATACTTTTACTATACCTAACCTAAAACAAAATAAACATTTAATTTTTTTATTAGACTATATTTCCGGTTTGTAATCATGGGAAGGGGGGATATACCCTCTCCCATCTGAAATCCTGTTCTTAAAAAAATCTTTTTAAGCTTTATATAACTATAATTTCTATCTCCATTTCATAAAATACTCAAAAATGGCAATGATAATATCAAAAATATTAATTTTCGATTTAATAGTGCCTCCTTACAAATTAAATTTTAATTTTTGTCTAACAAATTTTTTGGCATTTTTAATCTGCAATTATAGACATGCTTGTGATTCATAAGGCGTAGCCATGGGGGGGGGCAAGGAGAAATCCCCTCTTCAGAAATTTATCACTTTTTGTGAATATCATTAGCAAATGAAAGGTAACCTCCATAGTTCTCTCCCCACCCCCTGTCAAATTGCATATATCTTAAACTATAATTTGAAAGAAAGAATGTGTAAAAGTTATATTTTTCTAAACTAAAACTACTCAATATAATTCATACTTTTTTTGGGAAAAAACATTTTTATATAAAAAAGGGAAACTAAAAATGTTTTTTAAGAAATGAAATATAAGCCAAAGATAAATCTTGAAACAAAAAGAAATGTTTTTTATAATTACTACTAATAGATTCATAAAATTACTAAATAATATAATATATCAAATGTAATTTTTTATAAAGTGAGTAACTTTAATTATTTATCTTAATAAAAGTATAATTTAATTATAAAATTATTGATAAAATTAAATTATAAATTAAATAAAAAAAATTAATGCACAATACAAATAATGGAATACATACGCGTACGCAGGAATTTTGTCTGGGGGGGGGGGGAGATAATAAAATTTTTTAAGAAATATTATTGTTTTTTTAAAATATCAAGCATAAATTTATTAGGACTAATAACTATTTCTTATACACAATTTTAAATTAATGTGAATTATAAAAAAATTATATGCAAAGAATCACTTAAATGACCCAAAATAGAAATTTGAATTTTTTGAGCCTTAAAATTTATATATAAAGTATAAAAAATTTAAGTGTTAGATATATAAATTAATACACAAAAGGCTTAGGGAATAATTGTATTTTGTATATTATATATTTACAATGTAAAATCCAATCTTCGTTATGAATATTAAAAGATCCAAACCTTCCAATCTACTTTCAAAAGTTGTACTTCTTGTATGCTTTTCAGTGACCTGCAGGCCCGGCCCAAAATTTAAAAAAAAACACTCGGGCTGAGCCTGAATTTAAAAAAAAATCCGGGCCGGACTGTATATTTTAAAACAGCCTATATTTGAAATCGTTATTATTAATTATAAAAATCAAAAATAAATATAATTTATTTTTAAAAAATCCGGGTCGGGCCTGAAAATTTTATTTTAAAAAAGGCCGGGCCGGGCCTGAAAATTGAGCTTAGCCATAAAAATCTTTAAAAAAATCTGGGTCGTTCCCTGCAAATTGTACCTCTGCAGGGCTCTGTTATTCTTCTTAAAAAAGAGAATGTTCTCTCATTAGTTTACTATTGGGAAGAGTTGCTAATATATATAAACCCTTTTAATACATTGAGAATATAATCTAAAATGTGTTTGAAATAATGCAGAGAATCCATAGCATTTTTTGGGACTGTATGAACCATAGTTAATCTTATAGACATAGTTATTCAGCTAATAAGGCATCATAAGATACTTTAAAATCTTCATTATAAAAATCCAACAAATATTTTTTTTCTATCACCATCTGAAAAAGGTTGGGAAGGCTTTTATGGAAATAATATTTGCAGATTGGTAAGTGCTGCATAATGTAAAAACATTCGTTTATTTGGTTTATAAATGTATTTGTATCTAAGATATACTCTTCTACTGATCCTATATTAATGTTTTAAATATGAGCTTGCCTTGCTGCAAGTCGAGTGAGACAAATATTAAACACGTATATCTCTGCTTTTGTCTTAACAATAACATATAAAACATGAAATTCTTCATAAACATTAGCCCTAATTTCCTTGAATTCTAATAAAATGCTCTCCGCTATTCTCATCTTCTTAATCAAGTCATCACGTTTTTGAAAAGTAATACATAAAATAGTTGTACATTCTAATGAGAAAAAAAATTTGGAATAAGCATTGAATCCAATAATTTTCTTGCTTCTAATTAAAAATTTTTTTCAGGCCTTTGTGATATGTCAGTAAAAGCAAATAATCGGCTCTTCTAACTCCATAAAAGCTGTTACTGCTTGATGGCGGAGACTCTATCTCGTAGGATATGGTTGCAATTTCTTTCTCCCTGTTGGACAATTTCAGAATAATTTTTATTTGACTAGAAATTTAAAAATGGTAGATAAATATTACGCCACTAAAAATTTGAAAATAATAAGATAATATTACGCCGGAAAACTTGAAATCGAAATTAATTGATAAACTTAGTTATGAATTGTGATAATATATGTAATTAAATATATATTTAATATGAGATATGAATAAATATTAACAAATATAAATTAATATGTACTGTGTAAATTTAATTCAAAACATTTCCTTATTTATTAATTTATTTGAAAATAATATTATTTGACTTATAAAAAGTTGTTAAAATAACATATTTATATATTCTTATCAATTTTTACAAGTTAAAATTTTTATTTACAAACGAATTAAAAAATATGGAAATGTTTGAATTAAATCTGCACAAGACTCTAAACAAAAATATTTTTGAAAAATATATCCGGCATCTGCATTTTTTGGCTTGGGGGGGGGGAGTTGTCTCCCTGACCCCCCCCCCCAGCTGCGTACGCCAATGATGGAATATTAGGTGTCGTAGATTTACAGTATATCTAATTTTATCTATTGTATGACAATCAAATAATTTTTACCAATAGTGAAAGGCTTATTTTTTGATATAATCTCTTATTGAATTACTTATATTTTAAATAAAGATAATATTATTTTTTAATTAAAATTACATCCTATCTTATAAAAATATTTTATGACTATATATAGACTAAGAAAACCCGGTCTAAGGCCCGTTCAAAATGGAGTCTGGAGGCGAAGGCCCCAGAAATTTATTATTCCCCCCCCCCTGCTGTGATTGATAATATTTTTTATAGAATTGAATGTAAAATAACATATTTATAGCAGGATTTTGCCATGGGGTGAACCATTATGGTAGGTCTCATAAATTTTATTAGAGGTCTTTAATTCTATTTATTTTAGCCCTTTCTAGTGATAAAAACCCTGATTTTGATCGAATTTTATAAACGGCTCGATTAAGATTATAATCAAAATAATATTATGCAAACCTGAAGATTTTGCTTAAAAGGTAGCAAGAATTTTGGCCATCTATTTGCCAAATCTCTAAGCTTACAGAATATAGTTTTGGCTAAATCAACCCATATCGGTCTTTTTATCAACACTAGCCCTTTGGTTTACTATAATTTTTCACTTATTTTTATATAAAAATGCTTAATTTCTAAAAAATAAATTATTATTATAATTTTATTTTAACTTTTACTTAATTTTGTTTCGAATTCTTGTATAAAATGTGTATACATTATTAGGCTAGAGGAGAAGAGAGGGGGAGGGGGTGTTGGGGGGTTGTGAAATTTTTTTAATATACATAGTTTGATATATATGTCATGGAAGAAAGTAATTCACCTCGTACCATACTGAGATTCCAATTAAAAAACTAGAGGGTCATGCTCCGTTTTACAATTAGGGCAATATGGATAATTTAACATTACACATAAATGTTGTTTTTAACGAAAAAAAAATGCAGAATATATTAGTTATTCATTACGCAGGCCACTCGTAGAACACTTTTTTAAAAAATATTTCATTAAAAATAATTAATTCTAGAAATTATTATCTTTTGTTTGGAAATAAATAAATGTTGGTTACATTACCAAATATCCGCATTAAAAAAACGTTCTGCCTGGAAATGGCCTTATAGGCTGTGTTTCCAAAAATTAAATTCTCAAAATTTCGAAAACTTTAATGAAAATAAGTATTTTATTTTGTATATTAGAAAAAAAAATAGAACTTCAAATATAATAATAAAAAAATTTAAATATTAAAATAACAATGTCCAAAACATAATTCTAGAAAATTTTAAAATTTTATAAATTTCAAAAATTTAATATATGATTTTATTAAAATTTGCAAAAGTTTTGAAACTTTTCCAATTTGTTTAAAATTGTAAACATAGCTTTAATAAATCATTAATTTGGAGTCGTTTTAAAACAAATTAATCTTTTTTTCAAAATAATTAATATATAAATAAAAATCAGAAAATATCTTATAAAAATTTTGATTTTTCTTTATTAAGAGTCGGCAATATGCTGCTCAAAAAGAACTCTATAGCTCTGGCCCTTCATATAATAATATATAGAGTAGTTATCTTATCTAATGAGACCTAACAAAGGCAAATTCAGTCTATAGATACCATTGGAAAAGCAGAATTCTCTTAGGTAGGGGTGGGGGACTTTTCCCATTAATTTCT